GATAAAATGGTCAATTTTTCCGTGCAGTACTGTACGGATTATACGCTCCTCACCGGTTAAGAGTTTGGCCGAGAGTTGTCTCCTTCCTTTTCTGGCCTAGTGCTGTTCTTTTCTACTTTTCGCCGGTCAAACTGAAGGTCACATCGCTATAGAAACTAAACGAAGTATAACTTTTGGAAAATGGGAAGCAACTTCTATGAAAAAGGATTATGACGACAGCAGATAAATAGACTGCTTTAGTTTTCTAATTTTAAAGTAAAATACCGTATAAATTAAAATCATGGAAACCTTAAATTGAAAAACCTCTCAATTCGTACCTGTAGGTATTCCACCATCTGTTTCGGTGTACCTATCGGCATTTATGGTAACAACATGTTCCAATAAACCGTTAGCACCAGACCCATTACCAGCCAAATTAAAGTACGAATGATTGGTAAGATTAACCAGAGTAGGTTTGGTAGTGGATGCTTTATAATCAATAACTAGCTCGTTTTCATCAGAAAGTTGGAAAGTAACATTAGTCACAACATTTCCTGGATAACCTTCTTCACCATCTGATGAAGCGTAACTAAATACAACCTTAGTGCCTTTGACATAATAATCCCAAACAACCTTATTGAAACCCCTTAAACCACCATGTAAACTATTCGGACCATTATTGGCAGCTAACTGATAAACATTACCATTTAGCGTAAAGGTACTGTTACCAATACGATTTGCTACTCTTCCCACAGTAGCTCCGAAGTATCGGTTGTTGGGTTGAAGGTACCCTGATAATTAAATTAATTATTTTGCGACATTTTTAAAACAGCTAGCTATTTCTTTTTTTCTTATTATCGCTATACTAATTCTCTACAGCATTAGAAAATGGCTCATAAAAACGAAAAATGAAAAAAAACGGTAACGAGTTAGTGACGATACTCCTGATGAATATTACCATATGGTACTGAGAATAAAAACGGAGATAATAACATTGCAGTAATGAAATCAGTTAGCATAAGCACATAAAAAATTTGATTTGATATGATACTGATGTTTTTCTGCCAATAAACGCTGCATTTAAAGTAACAATAAAATATTATATATAAAAGAAATTATGAGTGCTGTCAGCACAGGGAAAAGTAGTATTACGTAATTAGTATCAGCAATTTCTTATGCTGATGTGTACGATGTGTTGCATACTTGTTTACAAATTTATCAAACAATTTTTAACACAGAATAATTAAACAAATTGTTCACAAAATTGAATTTCGACCACTCGAAGTAATGATGCTGACAGTTTCGAGCTCTGATAGGGGGGGAGAACTAGTATCTACAAATAATAAATACTTTAATTGAAAAGCATTTAAAATACAATTGCAATTACTTTAATTCGTAAATACTTTTCCTCAAATACTTTACAATTATGCTTAAATTTCAATAAAATAAATATGTAAGGTATGTGATTTGTATACATTTTGATTCCATGTTTATGCAGTAAACATTTTGTTTCTTGTAAATCAATACAATATGAAAATTTAAAGTGAAATTAATTTTCTATCCACTACAGTTCACCTGAAATTAATGACGAAATGTTGTTGAGCGTGACAACAGCAACAATTTTCCCTCATTAACTTCAACTAGTATGTAGAGGATGCAAAATCAACTTCTTTTTGATTTTTAGAAAAAGAAAATCATTTTGTAAGCTATAGATTATTACTTCAAGCGATAAAGGAATTATTTTGATCGAAACATCAAAATGTTGGCAAAATAAATATTAAAAATAAGTACTGTTGTGTGTAGTAAAAAAATATTACTTCTAAAATATATAATTATATAAGAAACAGTACACTACTTTTGAAAAAATAAATGATTTTTTTACTAACCAAAGTAGAGACCTAGATAGAAATACGATATCAGCGTTTTTGTCTAAGAATTACGGACATACGTATCGCAATGTCGAAATAATAAAGTATGCCGTGTGCATATTCCGAATGAAAGAAATATTTATTGCAGCAGTTGTTAATGACGTACAAAAAAATCCTGAATACCATTTTACAATATTTGGTACAAGTATTCACCTACTTACAAAAAATATGCTTAGTTCATATAATTGAGTAATTATAAGCAATACTTTTATGAAAAACATAAAATAATAAATTCTACAAATTTTTGAATGGAATTTTGATTACCTCCATTTCGAAAAAGAGAGGTAGCATTGTAATTGGAACATGACTACCAGAAAGCTCATCTGTAGGAGAATTTTTGACAACACAATGAAGAAGATCTAATACTAAAGTAACTAATCTTGCATGACGACCAGTAACATCTTGTCTCAGCAAGCCTAATATATCTTGCGCAACAATGTCTGGTGTTATACCTTCGTTATTTTCTACAATAAAAGTGTTTGTTTATTTTATTAGTAATGCTTCGTTAAATCGATCCTCCAAATTTGACAAAGAAAATGAGAAGCACAAGATACTTATCAAAATTAAATTGAAAGTGGAAGAAATAATTGCTAACGAAATTGAAATACGTATTACTAATAAACTACGTTTTTACCAAGTCCAATGGCTTGAATATGTTTGGGAATAAGTGGTTTTTTGAGTCTCATTAGGTAATGCTGAAGGGCAGCAGCTGTTTCAATAACAGAAGTTTGTTCCAAAAGACTTCTAATATTGTTACCACCTTTTTCTAATTCGTTGCTAATTTGCTCTACTCTCTGACTATGAACAACCGTATAAAAAATATTTCTTTGTCGAATATCTAAAAATTTGAATACAATTCTAGTTTTCATTAATCATTTTTCTCGACAATAAGTTTACTTTGTTTTAGAAAATCCACTACCTCTTCCACTGCAGCTAGTGACCGTTCCGATACTAAATCTCTATCGGAATATTTGAATATTCTGAAACAATTAATTAAAGTTGTTACGATGAAACTTATTTCAATTAAATTATTTGTAAATTTATGGTTCTCTGCAATGCATAACAATTCTGTTTTAAAAACAATAAATAACTTTAAAAGTATTTGTAGTTTTTTCAGCTTAATTCTGCTAAAGTTTCACATTACTAACCTTATAAACATCACGTTCAAAGTAAAAATAATTGGTACAAACTGAAATTATTAAAGACCTTGCATTCATTTATTTTTATTTATTTTGATTAAATAAACGTAGCTAATGCAAAGAAATGTATGCGAATGAAAAGTTAGTGTAGTTTTAGCAGTAATTTTTGACTGTAATATCGATGGCAATCAAATTCGGTACGTGTGCATTGTTGTGTGGCTGTTTTAATGCCGTTTTATACGCGAGGGTTACAGAAGCTTTACAAAACGAGCCGAAAGAACCATTCCTACCTAGTCAATCCCGCATCAAAGAGGAGCATTATGTAATTACTAAAAATAAACCCGATGGATTGAATTACCTAACAAATCTATATGCAACAGCGATAAGGGCTTTATTAATAAAGCAGATGGTACAGAATGAGTACCAAAATCAGGCTTATAATCAAGAACAATGGTTTCCACCGTCCAACCAATGGAGGGTACATCCCGATAGAACGCCTTCCATTCATTTGAAACCTTTTAACCAAGAGGATTCAGTTAATGTAACATTTTTTTGCTCCTTACTCAATAACACAGAGGAAAATTTTATCCATGAGAATGAAAAATACGAAATTGCTTTTAATAAAACATTTCCTTTTCCCCAGGATATCATTAATAACTCAAGTGATTTTAACGTAACAAATTTTTTGAAGAAATATGTGTACCCCTTATGTAATGTGACATCTTCAAGTAAGTGCAACAATAGAAAAAATAAGACGATTTCAACAGTCACACCTAAATGTGCCACAGGCAAAAAAAGCAACAATAGTTATTCTGAAGGAGAAGAAATTGAAGACAATCATGAATGCTATCAGGATTTTAATGGTACTGTATCTGAAATAGTTAACAAATCACATCATGTCATGTCAAGTCTGTCCAATATTTCACAACACAATCTTTACTACCAAATTGATTCTACCAGTGAACAGTCGCCTTTGTTTCATGAACTAAATTATCTCATTGATCAAATTGAGAAAACAGTAGGGAAAGATGTTAAATTTTGCGAAAAGAATAAAAACTGTAGTGATAAGCTTGCTTCTAATAACATTAAAAAGGATCGAGTGAAGTACGTTGACAACAAAGACATCAAGGTACCCAAAATTACCATCGTGATTGAAGGAGCTAAAGCAAAATACATGGAGAATAAAACCCAAGGCACAACAGATAAAATAATGATTGTTCTTGCACGGGATGAACATTGAAAAATGAACTTCACAAGATATATATATATAATAGGCATTCAATAAAAATGTAAAAATTGTATAGTTTATTCAGAATCAAAAAATAAATTTTTATTTAAGGTTATTATAATGTTTTTCCTAAAATAAACCACGGAATTTGCAGATATTTAAAAATTGAAATAATACTTTTAATAATGTATTAGGTATGCAAAACAGGTTTCAAAATTATGATTGTATGAAAACAATTTGTGCTGTATTTCCTAGCAACCTACATTTAACGGTAAGCATTGCGTTACAAGAAAAATGCAAACATTGTTTTATCCGGGATGTTTAAACATTTCGCTTGGTATGCAGCTCAATACAACAAAAACTTATGTAGGTTAATTTTAAAAACAGTACCACATTAAAAAAAAAAAAAATAAAGATAACGCCGATTTTGAATTTGTTAATTTTAAAAGACAAAAACTAAATATTAATTTAAAATTTCAGTAGTCATTACTCACAGGAATTTTAGGAAAACTAGTTTTAATGAGGATCCACTAGTATTAATACTAATTGTGACCTCTACTGTATTAAACTTGTTTTTCGTGAATTGTTAATAAATTCGATATAAATTTTTTTGCCTACGCATACATACGCGCTGTTTAGAAATTTCCTGCTGAAATTTCCATCTTAATTAATCGTTACATAAATACGTATTTCAGTCTATTAATTAATAATTATAATACAAAAATGAAATCCAGTTTCAACTTTACAGAATATATGCATTGAAATATTCAGCATTTCATAAATGTTTGGCTTTGCAGCTTCATCGCAAATTGTGATAACAATTGTTTTTTCAAATCGCCTATTGCAAATCCTAACTCTTTTTGTATGTAGGTATTCATAAAAGAACAGTAAAATTCATGAGGAAGTACGTAGAATAAAAAAGAAAAATATTTTTATAGAGACATTCCTAACAAATAATGGTGAACCATATTTTAAACATTTGTGTTTTTAATTGCTTAGTCTTGCAAATTATAAAAAATAGGTCAAGTGTAAGTAAAACATGTATCAATAGGACGGCATCTTTTAATAAAAATAATACTTCAACTGCTGACGAATTTACGATGATTGATTTTAATAGCTTTTGGAAAATTTAGAATACTCGTCACCATTATTCTTGCCATTCTTTTTTTTTTGATTGATAGTGGAAGGGAAGGAATAGAGGTTTTCAGTTTTGTTGAAAAAATTATAAGGCGATTATTTTCATAATTTGGGTCAAAGTAGTTTTCTCATACTTACGAACAAATAAAAGTAAGAGAATAAATTTTACAATACATTAAAAGGCACGCCTTCACATTCAGATTGATTTTCACTCAATATTCAATTTATTTGATTTGGACCTTTTTAACTCTCCTCGGAATCAGGCTACGTAAGAGTAAAAGGTTTTTTTATTTATATGAAACCATAATCAACGTTTCGCATTCAATTGCGAGGCATCCTCAGGGTTAGGTTTTTTTATAAATTAAGAAAGATTGCTTTGACAGTTGAACAGCTATATAATTTTATAAAAGTGGAGCCACCAACACATCTAATGCAGGTAGGAATGTGCAGAATGACCAAAAAGTCTTGAAAATCATTATCCTTTATATTATATATTTTGTGAAAAAAGAGTAAAGTATTAACCTAAAATTAGTGACTACGATACCCATCTCAATATAATTAGATAATTACCCATTANAAACCAATCATTCTCGTAGGGCAGCTAATCTTTTTAAACTTTTTAATGCTGATATCATAACTTGTTAATAATTTTTTTCAAAAATTCGTATTTTTTTAAGTTCCAATATTTGCCTAATAGCATATTTTTCTCCAAATGATAAATAAATCATGTAGTTAAATTATAAATGTAATCGTTTTAATTAAATGGTCGAATAAAAAATATATTTACAAAAATTATTTGGAGTTGGAATTATTTTGAATTTTCCACATATGTATGTCGAAATTATATTTTTTCAATATGAAACTGTATATAGGATAGACGTATGCAATGAATACATACACGCGCGTGACGCGTTTGACGTTTGCTAATTCAGCAACAAGAATAGTATAAAAATGCAACTAAGCGTCATCAATAATCATTCAGTGTTCACCATGCAGGGCTTTCTACTATTATTGTTGTTTGTTACAGCGTCAGTTGCCGAACCTGGACATGATATTACAAACAAACTACTGAAAAAGAAAATACCGAAGAGATTCGTTCCAGTCCACGATGGTCCCAATCAAATAAAGGAGGAGAAGAAAACCGAAGAAAACTTACTAGCAGCCCAAGACGTTGACATTAAACCCGAAAATAGCACCGCCTTGAATGCTGTTAATACTGAACAACAAAAAGAAGAAAATGTGAGAAAGAAGAAATCAGCAGTGACAACTTTCTGTGTGGAAATTCGACCAAGCAACCCTTACCAGAAGCCCTTCCAAGTTTGTGAACCGGAACCTTATTCTTCCTACGCACAACCAAATCATTATGCAGCATCATCAAAACCGTACGCTGCATCATCGTACTCCAAACCGGTTGCAACTGCAACTTATGGTGGCTCATCTGAATCTTCGTACAGTGCAACGTATTCTGCTTCAAAAGATACCTACCAGAAACCAGCAGCTTCATCAGGTGGTTATAGCTCAGCTTCCCATTCCACTGGAACCTATCCAGCATCGTCATCTTCTCAAGCATACAGATCTAAACCGGATGTTGTTGGACAACCTATTACCGACAACACAATTAAATCCGAAAATCCAGTAAAAGAGTCTCAGCAGGTTCCTCCTTTAATATTCCCGTTACCTAATGTTGAACCGGTGAAGAGAGCTTCAATGGACGATGAAGACGATGACGAAGATGATGAATTACAAGAAAGAACTGCAGCAAGAACTTTGAAACCTTATCCAACATATATTGCGTATTCTAAACCCTCAAAGCATACTTATAAAAAAGGAGGAGGTCACAATGGTTTAGTCATAACTTGCCAACCATCCTTGGCTGGAGTGGCTCACACAATTCCTCATGAGTACAGTTTTGGATTTGGCTACGGTCATGGTTCTGGTCATGGATATGGTCAAGGTGGATATGGTGGCTCTTCTTACGGCGGCTCTTCTTACGGCGGCTATAAACGATCACAAGAAAATGAAGGCCTGTTTGATTCAGACGAAAGCGAGCTTGCAAGATCAACCCATTACGGATATAGTTATGGTTATGGTAAAGGTTCCAGCAAATACGGTGGTGGATATAAGAAAGGAGAATCTTCTATGCATGGAAAATATGAAGCTCCTGGTTATGGTAAGGGCTACCAAGTATACGAATACAAAGCTCCGTCTAAATATGAAAGTTCCTATGGGTATGAAACTCCAAAGTATGAAGTCCCTAAATATGAAACTCCTAAGTATGAATATAAAGCACCAGCCAAATACGAAGGCTCCTATGGATACGAAGCTCCTAAATATGAAGCTCCGNCACCAACACATCTAATGCAGGTAGGAATGTGCAGAATGACCAAAAAGTCTTGAAAATCATTATCCTTTATATTATATATTTTGTGAAAAAAGAGTAAAGTATTAACCTAAAATTAGTGACTACGATACCCATCTCAATATAATTAGATAATTACCCATTAAAGGTAAAACTAGTCGTAACCTGCCTTTGCAGAAGTTGAATTATTCCCCATTTTCCCATGCAAACGTAGGAACCCCATTTCACACCTGAACTGTTTATTTTTAAAGCTTTTCAATATAAAATAATGGATTTTTCTGGGAAACTGTCAGAGATAAATATTTAAAGCCTTATATGATTAGAAAGGGCTTTTAATTTCGCATCGAATGGTATCCTTTAATAGGTCATTCCATTCAAAAATATTCGTCTTTTAAGGATGTCAAAAGTTAGTTTCGATATTTTAGGCTATGAATAACATACACATTTCGCCCATAGCAAAACAGATACGGTAATTTGTGCTAAAACGAACTGTCCAAACCGCAGATTTCTAGCTTTTATGCTTTAGATGCTGTTTGGTCTAATTCAAACAGTTGTAATCATATTTTTTTTCAAAAGCAGTTGAAAATTTCAAAAACTACTGGAGATAGGTACAAAGAACTCTTAACAAAGTCGACCTAAAATTGTAGAAAGAAACCAAAAATGTAATATATATAGAGTGTTCCATTTAAAATAACGAACTTAGGTAGCGTCCAGAAGGAATGGAGCACCCTGTATGACTGAAAATATTTTCTGTATGTACACTGTTTAATTGTCGACCACTTTTAATTAAACATTATTTTATTAAAAGTATAGTAGCAGTTATGGACTAAACCGCCTATGGTGGAACACCCTATAGAATAGTTTACGAGCTGGTGTAACAATTATGCTAAAAGGAACATGTTTAAGTTGTAAATATCATTGTCCTTTCTTGTACAACATACAATTAAGCCTTTAAGAAGTTTTAATCAATCAGAAAGCAGAAAAAATAGTGATAGTGATAATTTAATAATAATTCACTTCACTCACCAACTTGAAAATTTCCTTTTACTCCTTTTCGTTTGACAACAACGTATTATTTATTTTTTTAATAATAATTTGGTTTAGTAGAGAGTTGGCGTGATTAAACTGTAAACTAAAAATAGTGAGAAAGAGAAACGTACGAACATTTTCAACAATTGCTTCATTAGTGGTAGTCAAATTCAAATATTCCGGGGCTAATAAAATCATTTCGACAAAGACTGAGGCCACTCTCCTCCAACGGGTTATATGTTCTGGCTGAAAAAAAGATAAAGATTATTTTTAATATTTCATCATGTCAGATCGTTAAAGATGTTATTATATAGTTAACAATTAATAAGCATATGCTACAAAACATTTGAGTTGCATCCGTATAATGATCTATCAATAAAATTAAATAACACACGAGATTTAATTTACAAAAACTGGATAATTATTCGGTACCTACCGTCTTCATACGACACTCTTTGTTTTTATTTCCATTAGGTAACAATTTCTAAAGTTCAGAAATGAATTTGCCTTTTTAATTATTCTTTGCCATCAACCACGTAATTTTTCGTTAAGTATACGTATTTGATATTTCCTAAGTGTTACGTATATATATGACCTTATATATGTATTTTAATGTTAATAATACAATTGTATTCTTAACTAATAATCAATTCTATTCAAAATTTGAATCTAAAAACTTTAGAATTACGAAAACAGCTGCCTTTAAGAACTTTCAAAGTTTACAACTTTTAAGGCAAAGCTATTAAATTAAGTGACTTTTAAAATAGATTTTTCCAAACGATTCTTCAGTTATTAAGTACTTTTACCTACCTAATTAATGTTTGGAGATTAAAATAATTACTTAGTTGGTCACAATCACATTGTATTCTCGTTTTAGAGATTTTGCACCGTTTGCATAAAGATGTCAATTAGCCCAAACATTTCGATTAGTGTCTTCGGAAAGGAAAAAATACTGGTTTAAATCATATCATCATTTTCAATTGTTTAATTAATTAAAAAAACCTTTACTTGTATTAAATCACGCAGTCAATGCAAGTTCTGAAATGATAGTAACGATTAACTACCTTCATGGTTGCAATACTATGTAGGTTTTAACAAAAACAATGTTATTTTTGTTTAAAATTTATATGCCTAATTGCATGCAAATTGTTTTTTTGTGGACATCTTACATCTTTAAGCAAAACATCTGCAAATAAATGTAAGCGATGTTCTCAACACCTTATCTAACTTTAAGGTAAGATTATAACATTGAATTTCACGTTCATTACTCACAGGAATTTTAGGAAAACTAGTTTTAATGAGGATCCACTAGTATTAATACTAATTGTGACCTCTACTGTATTAAACTTGTTTTTCGTGAATTGTTAATAAATTCGATATAAATTTTTTTGCCTACGCATACATACGCGCTGTTTAGAAATTTCCTGCTGAAATTTCCATCTTAATTAATCGTTACATAAATACGTATTTCAGTCTATTAATTAATAATTATAATACAAAAATGAAATCCAGTTTCAACTTTACAGAATATATGCATTGAAATATTCAGCATTTCATAAATGTTTGGCTTTGCAGCTTCATCGCAAATTGTGATAACAATTGTTTTTTCAAATCGCCTATTGCAAATCCTAACTCTTTTTGTATGTAGGTATTCATAAAAGAACAGTAAAATTCATGAGGAAGTACGTAGAATAAAAAAGAAAAATATTTTTATAGAGACATTCCTAACAAATAATGGTGAACCATATTTTAAACATTTGTGTTTTTAATTGCTTAGTCTTGCAAATTATAAAAAATAGGTCAAGTGTAAGTAAAACATGTATCAATAGGACGGCATCTTTTAATAAAAATAATACTTCAACTGCTGACGAATTTACGATGATTGATTTTAATAGCTTTTGGAAAATTTAGAATACTCGTCACCATTATTCTTGCCATTCTTTTTTTTTTGATTGATAGTGGAAGGGAAGGAATAGAGGTTTTCAGTTTTGTTGAAAAAATTATAAGGCGATTATTTTCATAATTTGGGTCAAAGTAGTTTTCTCATACTTACGAACAAATAAAAGTAAGAGAATAAATTTTACAATACATTAAAAGGCACGCCTTCACATTCAGATTGATTTTCACTCAATATTCAATTTATTTGATTTGGACCTTTTTAACTCTCCTCGGAATCAGGCTACGTAAGAGTAAAAGGTTTTTTTATTTATATGAAACCATAATCAACGTTTCGCATTCAATTGCGAGGCATCCTCAGGGTTAGGTTTTTTTATAAATTAAGAAAGATTGCTTTGACAGTTGAACAGCTATATAATTTTATAAAAGTGGAGCCACCAACACATCTAATGCAGGTAGGAATGTGCAGAATGACCAAAAAGTCTTGAAAATCATTATCCTTTATATTATATATTTTGTGAAAAAAGAGTAAAGTATTAACCTAAAATTAGTGACTACGATACCCATCTCAATATAATTAGATAATT